AATGCCTCGTTCACGCTTCACATTCACCAGTTTATAATCCTCAGCCAGAGGTAACCATGTTAAATTGCCTTCGGTAAAGCCGGCTTTGTGTCCGTCATTCCACTGGAAGGGCGTACGCTCCGGATCACGACTTAGACGTTCATATACTTCTGGATTCGACTGACAACCTTGTGGATCGACGGTCTCTTCCCAAGAAATCCAAACATCCGTCATGCCAATCTCCTCGCCTTGATAGGTGACACTTACGCCAGGCAAGGTCTTCAGCATTATGTTGATCAAGTCAATGCGATCGGCGCCTAAACGAGTACCAATGCGACTCTGGTCATGATTGCCTAACTAAAATAGACCCAAAGATGTATATGATTGAAACAGGATTACATGCCCAGCTACGAGCTTAAATACTCATTTCAACTTACTACCCAATTGGCTACGCGCCCGGCTGGCATGTTTTCCAGCCATTTGTTTATGAGTTCGGAGTAGTGGTAGGCATTAGAATGTTTGTCCAAATAGTCGATTAGTTGGAAATTGAAAGGTATTTGAGCGCCATCTGTGGAGCTATTTCCGTAGTATTGCATTACCACATCAATTGGCGAATATGCCTCGGTCATGAGGATGTGTTCGTCGCCACCCAGCTCCTCATCGAATTCCTTCAAGACCTGACGAAACTCATAAATCACTTCAAGCGTCTGCGGTTGATCTGTAGTGTAGATGTGCTGTAGGGACAGGTAGTCTTCGGGGTCATTAACTTCAGTGTTACGTGGCTCATCAGGATAATTGCCGTCCGCATCGGCAGCTATTTCGTAGATATATCGCACAGCGTCGACACGGAAGCCGGCAACACCCAAGCGCAACCAGTAACGCAGCACATCCTATGCGAGCCATTGAAATTACTTTAAAGTAGAGACTTATAACTTTTAATTTAACTTTTTTTAACAAACCTTCATGAATTCGCGCACTTTTGGATTATTGTAGTTGAGATCTGGCTGCTTGGCATGGAACTGATGTAGGTAGTATTCTTGACGATCTTCATTCCACGTCCACGCCGAACCGCGAAAATTACTTATCCAATTGTTTGGCGGCACTCGTGTGCCATTTTCGGATATTTTGCCCGGATGCCAAATGTAGAAGTCCTTATATTCCGGATCATTCTTGGCAGACTTAATAAACCATTCGCATTCATCACTGGAGTGGTTCGGTACAAAGTCCAAAATGATTCGCACGCCCAATTGTTTTGCGTTTGCGAGAAGAACCTTGAAGTCTTCCAATGTGCCATACATTTTGTCGATTTCGGTGAAATTGGACACATCATAGCCAAAGTCCGCGTTGGGTGATGTAAAAATGGGCGACAGCCAAGTAGCATCAATGCCGATTTCACTGAGGTAGGCCAGATGTTGGGTAATGCCTACGGTGAAAATTCGATTTGGCAGTTGCCGTAAGGTGCTTTGCGTACGTACGTTCACTTACCCTTCAAGTCTCCAATGCCATCGCCATCGCTGTCCTTGAAGGAGCGTGGGTATATTTGGTAGAATGAGGCGCTTTTCCACCAAGCTTTGGTTGTTGCTGTACTTGCAGCCGCGGAGAGCAGCGCAAAGAGTGCTAGAAATTTTAGAAAGTTTAGCATCGTTTGGTTCGATTGTCTTCTGGACGTAATACTGTGGCGTTAACTGCTGCATTGGCGCTTTTATACATGCCATCGGATCCGCATGATGTTATCGGCGATCGATAAGGGGCCGTAAAAACCCGTACAGTTTTTGGCGAACTTGAGTCGAAAATTTACGAAGTTCGCCTGTAGAAATCTTTAATAGACGCTATGCGTGTGGTAAATGGTTTTAGGTAAACAAGAAATAACAACATTCTCAAGTGGGTAGATAAGTTAAATGATTGTAAATATGTAATAAATTCTCCTGAAATTTATTACCTAGCTTGTGCTTAGCTTGTTTTCCAATCACTTAGTTTGATCGTTTGATAACAAAAAATTTGCAAGTCGACACGATACAGTTTTTGGCGAACTGGAGTGGAATGTTTACGAAGTTCGCCTGTAGAAATCTTTACTAGACGCTACGCGTGTGGTAAATGGTTTAAGGTAAACAAGAAATAACAACATTCTCAAGTGGTTAGATAAGTTAAATGATTGTATGTAATAAATTCTTTTGAAAATTTATTACCTATATCCTTTCTAGTTTAAATATAGCTAAAGAGTATAGCCCATCTAAGGCCTCTCCCAACGCTCCCAAGTATTTACTGTATTCTGAGCTTACCGTTATGGTAATTGTAAGTCTCGAAGTAGCGCAACTAAGTCTGCGAAATGGTGTCAGGCCAACAAGGAAGCCTTACCTGATCAGTATGTCGGCAGCCTCGGTGCTTTCGATCTCACAGTGACCTGGTACCCAGCACTTTACCGTTTTTCTTTCTGCCAATAGCTGAAGAGTGTGGAAATATTTTTTGAGGAGCTTGTAGTTGATTGCCACATTGGATAGGGCAAACTAGAGTTCCTTTCGGTTTGAAGAGCTTTCGGATATTCCTTCACCTTCTACGTACTTATCTATAATGGCCTTTCGCTGGCATTCATTGACATACAATTTCCCTACTTTCTTATTGGAAACTGCGCGATTTTCAAAAATGTTTTTCCTTTTTATCCTTTCATGAGTATTTTAGGGAAATTATCAAAAACTTTGCTCCACAGTAATGATCAGCTATTCCTTAGAAATATATTCTTTCAAGAAACGATGTCTATTAAGAACAACAATTTCCATCACTTCGATGTATTTCGGTTGGGAATCGAACGTAGAATTCGGAACATTGAAATAGGGTCGATGGATGATAACTTTCGGTGCTCATTAGTGGAATTTTGATAATAGCTACACTAAATGTTCGTCGAAAATTCTCTTAACAAAAAACAGTGTGACCTAAAGGCATACAAAATCTAAACGATACTTATGTGGTAGGTTTCGTCAAAGGATGAGGCGAGCTCAGCCGATCTAGAGTCGAGTGAAGGTCCCACTAACCCCCACCAAATAAAACACAATAATTTAGTACCGGCGGGTTGACGTACAGGGAGAAAAGAGAGACGTATTGAGAGAGAGTCTAGCTGGTTGGCGGTCGCTGTTGTGGCGACGGTGAGAGCGGCGACGGCCGTGATGGCGACATGCACCCAACGTACTGGTGAGAGAGACAATGAGAGCGATGATCGTGACGGCAGCAACAGTCCCCTTGTAGTGGTTTTCGTGGACCCGGCGGCCCAAATGGTAGTGAGGGCGGCATGGAGCTCCCGTGTCTTAAATAGTGTTGGTGATTGCGGCCCCTTTTGGTTACGACTGTTACAGCGGCCTTAAACGGCGATGGCCTACGGTCGTAATAACAACTTCCGGTGCTCGTGTCAAAGGCGGATGTGATCACGAAGGTAGCAACTCATGCCCTAATGGCGGTGATAGCGTCAGCGGCCCTGGATGACGATGGTAATGCTAGAAGTCCTGGTAGGTGGCAGTTCTCGGCAACGGTTTCGGCCTAGGGGCGGCAAGAGTGTCGGCGGTCCAAATGGTCACCTACGAAAGCTGATCGGTTAGTGCGGCACCAAGGCAGCAAAAGCAGTCCATTCCTCCCCTATTTACTCAATCGTGGCTGCCTGGCACTAGGGCGGTATTCTAAGTGCTATGTGAGAAGTAGATGCTGCAACTGCTATTCTTTTGGAGATTTTGGCGATAAAGCTAGCGATATCGAATGTAGGAATCCGGCTGCAGCTCTCTATCTATCGGATCTTTTCTTTGAACTGATAAAACGGCATGAAAATATCCTCCGAAACCCCACAAAAGTTCGTATACTTTTTTTATGGGGATAGAGTCCTGCATTGGATCTCAGTATTACATATCTGGATTTGTAGTGTGTTTGTTAATCCAGTTTTAGA